AGAATAAAGTAAAACAAAATTTTATTTATTTATAAAATGCGAAAAACTTTTCCTTACAATGCAACTTTAAATGAAAACTATGTTATTACATATTTTCTAGCAATCTATTATAACTCCTAAGTAGTAGCTCAAGAATCCGATCTTCGAACCATGCGATTGAAATCCATCTTCGCGATCAGATTCAACATACTCTTTATCTAAGTTCCTTTCCCTTTGCTTGATCTTGCCATACTATGACTCGTCGAGTTCCCAGGCTACCCATCATCATGACTGGACGAACTAACTCGTCGAGTCGTCCTCAGACTCGTCGAGTCCTAGTATAGTCATAAAAGGGACAAGATGATCCATCTCATCGAGTTCCTTGACAAGTCATTGAGTTCATGAGCATCATCGAGGATCCTTGATCGGACTCGCTGAGTTCCCATATGAGCTCGTCGAGTCCCTTGCAGATCTAACCTAAATAGCTGATTTCACACTTCTAAGGCTCCAAAATACAGATCCAGATTGTTTCCATGGTCCATTTCTATAAATTTGGAAAGTTTATGGCTTTGCACACCTCAAATGGGCCCAAACTCAAGTTATAGCAATCTACTTCCATGAACATTACATTGCTTTGACAAAAACGGGTTCAAGACCTCTTTCATGGTTCGAGAGGCTAAATATCACAGGAAAAAGGGATTTCTTGGCATACAACCCATTGAGAGTAACTTATCCTTCTCAAAGGGATCAAAAAGACCCATAAATCAACACTAAAAGAGATCTAAGCTATAGGTTATCAAGTTAAGAGCTTTTTACCTTAGAAGGTTGCCAAAGATGGATGAAATCCTAGATCTTGATCTTCTCCACAAGCATGATGGCTCAAATCTCTTCCAAATCTCTTCTATATCACAAAAACACACTTAAAACCTCAATAATCTCTCAAGGATGAAGCTCACAATGAATTATGGCTTTGAAATAGCGAGGCTGGTAAAGGAGGCCCAAAAGGGGTTAAGTGGCTTAAATAGGGTGCAAAACCCGAAGATAGGGTTTCCTCCTGACAGACCTACTCGTTGAGTCAAGGCTTCGACTCGCCGAGTAGACCATTCAAATCCCTACGTCCAATCTGGCATCTACTCGACGAGTTAGGGCTACTAACTCGTCAAGTAGCCTTCACAAAATTAATATTAAATGAACTGATACGTACCAGGAACAGGGCGTTACAAAGTAGTTGACATGTACCCACAATAGGAAAAACATCATGTACTCGCCTTAGTAGTTAATGTCAGTTAACTATAATACTTTTTTTGATCCTTGCTTTGTTTCTGTTTCTTTCCTACTTCAATTCCTAAAAATTGTTCTGTTAACTTTTCCATAAGCCATCAATACTTTTAGGTATAAACAACATTCTTTTCATAATCAACTTGGTCACTTGGTTCTTCTAACCAATTTGACAATTCTATGGTAATGATAATATCTCACAATTTCTACAAATTTCCAATGTTTATGGGTGTTGTGACTAATTTGCATGAATACTCTTATTAATGAGTTGTAGGTACATAAAACAATGCATTCATTTAAGCTCTTATACTTCCAAACTCGATTCATGAATATTCAACCAAGTAATCTTGTTTAACCAAGTAACATTGTTTAATACATGTTATTTCTCGTGAATAACATGTTTATTGAACTTGTATCATGATTATCTATCCTTGATTTAACAATATAATCAAATCCTAAAATTAGGGGTTATGAGCTCATTCCATAATCTTCAAGTTTAATCCATATAAAAGAAAGAACTTACCTTCTTACATTGTTTTCTTGAGTTGAATAGCAAAATCCCTTTGGTTTGCTCTTTGTTCTTGCTTGCAATCAATGACATGATCTATCTCACCGTACACACTTAAGCTTTGAATAGTTAGAGGTGGAAATGCCTAAAACTAAATCGAAATGAGTTGTTTTGGTGGTCAAATGATCTCAGAATATCGTTGCCATATTTCCAACTATAGAGGTAAGAGTAAGTTACATGCTGTAAAAAATTTGGAGCCAAACGGATCCCACATGTGCTCCCACGTGCTACTATAGTGATCATTGGGCAGCCACACTCTAGTTATTCGAATGGGCCAAAGACTTAGCTTGGTCAAGTAGAAAGCTGTAAATCAGCTATCTGTTGTCTAGTTTTTATTTTTTTCGACTACTAGTCGTTCTAACTTCATCATACAAACTCTGTTGAACCTTAATATGTTTGGGTTAAAAATTTTGTAGCAAGGGTTTTTTATGGACATATTACAATCAAAGTTTAAACATTGGAAAGTCATATCTTTTAAGCTCCAAAATAGGCTATTTAAGTTTTTATTTTTTTTATTTTTAATTTTATGATTTTTTTTTTTGAACTTTTCTAAAATCACCATTTTTTCACATTAGCTTCCAAGAAACCGTTACATTGATTTTGGATTATACCCATAAATCCAATATAATATTCATAAGGTGCAATCATACATACTTATAAAGATAGCATTTTTTCTTGAATCTCATGCATTTGAAACCCTCATTCTTTTTTCCTTTCACTACATTCATTTGAAACTCCCATGACTTTTCAATTTCTTTATAATAATAATTATAATTTGGTAATTAGGTTAAATAAATATCAAATCTAAAGTGTAATCATATATAAACTAAATTTCAATATTAAAATAATATCTTTACATCTACTTATATAATTATGTTTTTTTAACTTTTAACATATTATACTTAATTTATTAGGTTTAATATATTGTTGGATGTAAACTATTATCATTTTAAATGTATAATTTTTGAACAATTTGTATAAAATACTTAAATTATTAATTAAAATATAACACTATAGCCTCAAATTAAATATAAATTTTATTTAACTTAAACAACCCAAAAATTATTTTACAAATAGTTAAAAGTGATAAATTGTAGTGTCTTTCTAATAATGATTGTAAGTTGGTTGATAAGGTTAAATAAATATCAAACCTAAAGTATAATCATCAATAGACTAAATTTCAATTTTAAAATAATATATTTACTTCTATTTATAAAGTTATGTCTTTAAATTTTAACATACTATACTTAATTTATTAGATTTAAAATGTTGTTGCATTTAATCATTATTAGTTTAAAGCTACAACTTTTGAACAATTTGGACAAAATACTTAAATTGTTAATTTAAATATAACATTACAGTGTCAACTTAAATATAAATTTCAGTTCCACTAATAAAACCAAATAATATTTTATAAATAGTTAAAAGTGATAAATTATAGTGATAAATGCAAAAACTAAACTGTAATATCAGTTTAACTAAAATATTTTCTAAATATATTTTTATAATCGTTAAAAATTTTCAAATAAGTAGTTTAAAATAACTTATAATAACAATAGTTAAAAATAACTCTATATAAATGATTACTTTGTTACCTTTAAAATCAAAAAATAATGTTTGATGTTTTAAATAATTATAATGATAAAAATTAAAACATTAAGTAGCAAATAAATTTTAAAATATTTGTTAACAATAACAACAACTATAAATAATATTAAACCATATATAATATTTAATTTTATTGATGTGTCACTCGCGAGTAGAAGTCATTCAAACGATTAAGATTATGACGTTATAATAGATGTATATATTATCATATAATTCAAAATAATCAATATATTATATCAAATTAATATATAAATTATTATATCAAATTTAACAACAACGTTAGTGTTATACTTAAAAAAATATAAATTTGTAAAGACTTCAACTATATAGGTGTTTCAGTGCATTATAATATCAACTCAAATATAAATTTCAGTTCAATTTAAAAAACTAAAGAATATTTTGTAAATAGTTAAAAGTGATAAATTGTAGTGATAAAAACAAAAACTAAATTGTAATCTCAATTTAACTAAAATATTTGTTAAATATGTTTTTATAATCGTTAAAAGTTTACAAATAAGTAGCTTAAAATAACTTACAATAACAACAGTTAAAAACAACTTTATATAAATGATTATATTGTTACCTTTAAAATAAAAAACAATATTTGATGTTTTAAATAATTATAATGATAGAAATTAAAACATTAAGCAAATAAATTTTTAAAAAATTAATTAACAATGAAAACAACTATAAATAAGATAAAATCATATATTATATTTAATTTTATTTATGTGTAACTCGCAAGTAGAAATCATTTATACGATTAAGATTATGAAGTTACAATAAATGTATATATTATCATATAATTCAAATATAATCAATATGTTATATCAATTTAGTATATACAAATTATTGTATCAAATTTAACAACAACGTTATTGTTATATTTAAAAAAATATATATTTATAAAGACATCAACTATATAAGTGTTTCTGCACAACGCGCGGGCATTTATCTAGTTTATCATAAGTTAACACATATAAAACACACGTATGATGATGAGACATAGAACGATCTCTTTCCCCTTTATATTTCAATCTCCCCATATAAATACTATGATATATCATATTTGTAAAAATCGATCCATCGTATTATCATTGAGACACTATTAATTACGAGAATTGAAAAAAATCAAAGTATATCATCATCTTCAGCATAAATCCAATATAATATACCTACAACTCGGATAACATCTTAATTAGAAATTATGTATGGCATTCGATTCAGAGAACATCGACTGTTATCTGTTGAAAAAGAAAAGCTTACAAATTGATTGTTGAAAAAGAAAAGCTTACAAATTGATTACAATTTAACTGAAATATTTAACCTAACTAATTAAGACTAAATATAGAATCTACCGTAATTAATATAAAGTAACCACAAAGTAGATGCTAGTACCCAAACATTAGCTAACAATATCCAGAATAATATGTAAAAATTGATTTGTTATAATTAACTAACATCTATGGTTTTCTTTATCAAATTTCAATTCTAGTTTTGCATGGATACACATCCCAACATCCAGGTAACATGATTAAGACACGATTCTCATTAACAAGTTTGATTCATGGGAAACATCTTCCAATTCTATAATCACAATCTGAAACTGAATTCCATAAGAGTTTTTAAACTTCTAATCACGTTGTGCTTTGAGCACATTCTTGAGACACATGTCTGCATGCATGGAAGCCACCAGATGATGATCTTAATGAGAAATCATCTCCCCTCATTAAATGCACATCGCATCCTCATACAACATATAACAATGGTAGATCAGAGGAAACTAGAATCTATAATCGACTGCCACACCACCGTAAGCCACCATCAACAGCCAGTCATAATGGAGAATAACAAAGAACAGCCCTCAACGGAAGGTTCAAACGGATCGCATTCATCCATAATAACCAAGATCAATGCTGGCTACTTCAGGATATGCATATCTGCTGGTGCCCAAGCTTTACTTTGGAAAAGTATAAACCAACACCACCGGACCTCAAACCTCCACACCATTATCGCCAACACCTCCACCGTCTTCTGGTGCCTAACGCTATTCACCCTCGTATCTCTCTCTCTTCTCTACATAATGAGATGCATTTTCCACATTAACCTCGTGAAAGCTGAATGTCGTCACCATGTAGGCATGAATTATTTGTTTGCACCTTCGATTTCATGGCTTCTGTTACTCGAGTCCACCCCTTTGTTCATTTTCCCAGATAAGCACGCATATGGATACATATGGTGGTTGCTAATCGTTCCATTGTTGGCTCTTGATGTTAAGGTCTATGGGCAGTGGTTCACAGCTGAGAAGCGATTTCTCTCTATCATGGCTAACCCTACGATCCAAATATCTGTAATAGGGAACTTGGTAGCATCGTTATCATCCCATGTAGCAGATGAGACAAGATGGAAGGAAATTCGGATTTGTCTGTTTACATTTGGGATGACACATTATGTAGTGGTGTTCATCACGCTTTACCAGAGGTTATCTGGGAGTAATCATATTCCGTCTAATCTCAGACCTGTTTTCTTCCTCTTTGTAGCCACCCCGAGCATGGCTACTTTAGCTTGGGAATCCATTAGTGGAAGCTTTGATATCATTTGCAAGATGCTCTTTTTTCTATCACTCTTTCTTTTTGTATCTTTGGTATGCTCATTTCCTTCTTAATTATATAGGCCCAATTTATTATAGACATGACAAAACATGACATGCATTATATTATATTTGGTGTGCATTGGATTTGTCATCAATCTCTTGTTTGTGCAAAAGACATAAATATCAATCTCATCTAATCATTGAAATTAGCCCTACAAAACGCTTGTTTCACTTCCTTTCCCTCCCATTTTGTGTTACAACTTAGACCCATTTATCTAAATATGTTGATTTGAGTTATACTTTGGCTAAATGCAAGACATAACATGCTTTCATTTGGCTAAATGCAAGACATAACATGTTTTCATTTGTTTATGCTTTATAATATCCTACGTTCATTTTTTCAATTACAATATTCTACTTTTGATTTTTTATTTTTTTTTTCTTATTAAAACATTGCATTTTGAAAAATCTATCCAGTTACAGCATTATAGTTTTAATATTTTTATTAACCAACTATAACAGCAAAAATTGTTTTGTATACATATGACATTGGCATAATATTGGTATTTTTTGAAATGCAATGCAATAATTAGAAGAAATAAAAAGTTTGTTGTTATACTTAATGAAAGTAATTACTATTTCTCTCATTTTATCCTCTATTTTACCTCTAACCACTCAAATTGATCAAAAACTGCCTTAAGAAGATTCAAATGGTTACCTTCCTAAATCGTTTTATTAAAAAAAATGTTGGAATATTTTGACTTGTTAATTAACCAACTTGTAAATTCTATCACATCTAACTATGAATGGATAATTTGAGACTAATTAAATTTGGTGTTTTGCAGACAAGTCGACCATTGCTTTTTAAGAAATCGGTGAGAAGGTTCAGTGTGGCATGGTGGGCATTCTCATTCCCACTCACTTTCCTTGCTCTTACCTCCATATCATATGCTCAACAGGTAAAGGGTAAGGCAGCAGTCGGATTGGCGATCCTTTTATCGGGTATTTCGGTTCTTGTGTTCATTTCTTTGTTTGTTTGTTCCATTTTCAAGATTCATTTGCTTGTTCACAAACCAACCCTTATTTTCTCCACTGGTTTAGGGCCTACAAATGTCTAATGTTGTATAATCCTTGTAATATATCTTATCTGTGTGCTAACTAAATCTTGAATAATGTGGTATGTATTTAATTTCTTTTAATCACCACAATCATATAAAACAATTGGTTCAAAAGTTGTATCCTTATAAAATTGAATTGCCAAGAGGTGGAATCTCAGCAGTCAGCAGTGTGGGGCAACGTAAAGTGGCCTCATCGTGGGCACCACGCTCATATGTTAACCATCAAGCTATATGTTAGACTAAAATTTCCAAAGAATAAAGAAAATTGATTGAATTCATCAACTTTTTAGAAAACATGTGATGAGAGTCTGAATGTTAAAAAGTTCGGATTGATAATAGAAGAAATCAAAATATCAAAATAAAATAATTTTGAAAAATAGGAAACAAAGTTGTAAATGGATTAAAAAAACAGAGCATTTTTGAGAAAATGTAAATAACATGTGAGAAAAGTTACAATTGAATCTTTTTAGATAAAAAAATAAAATAAAATAAAATAAAAAAGATAAAAGAATACGGTTAACGAAAATGATAAAGAATAAAGAAAAATGGTTGTAAAGAAGTAAAAGTGAAAGTTTAGTAGAAAAAGATAAAAAAAAATAAAAATAAAGTGACAAAATTATAAAGAAATAAAATAAAGTGGTAAAATTATAAAGGGGGAGAAAGTTTCATCTTAAAACTTCACATGTCCTTTAAGATATATATATATATATATATATATATATATATATATATATATATATATATATATATATATATATATATATATATATATAGAAAAGTGAATATGTGTCTGTTATGTATCTATGCTTAGGTATAGAACTTTTTAAACAACGTAGTTTTAAACAAAACAAATCCATTTTCATTTTCTAGTACTTTTGTTTTAATATAATATCAGTGAATTAAGTTCAATTATGGAATGAAAAAGATCAATTATCTATATTTTTATTGCAAATAATTATTGAAATTTATAGAGAAAATAAAAAAACTAATATTTTTTTAATATAACCAAAGCGTTTTGTCTTTCAATTGAAAAACTATATCCAATGATTTTGTGAAAACCTTCATTGAATTATGACATGATCTTTTATCTTTTATTTTATTAGTTTTCATTTAGAATTTAATAGGGTTGATTAAATAGTCATGACTTTTAATGTTTTAAGTTCTTAGAAACAATTAAGAAAAAGAACATAAATTTGATGAATTTAGTAAGTCATATGAGTAAGGAACAATAGTAAAAGATATATCATGATTAGTTTGGATATAAATGGATCAAAACTACATTGTTTGGATGGTTCTATATACAAGTTTAGGTACATGACAGCCACATATTCCCTAAGCCTATATATATATATATATATATATATATATATATATATATATATATATATATATATATATATATATAGAGAGAGAGAGAGAGAGAGAGGAAAGATCATTTGAGAACCTATAGTTTCCCGAGAACTAAAAGAGGAGCGTTAGATAAAAAATGATTGTCAAGATGTATTATGGCATTTTTGTAAATAAATAAAATGGTAAAAGGGTGGGGTATATTAATAAAATGTCACTGAGGCTATTTTACGGATAATAGAAAATGACTCAGGAATAAACCAATCAGATCCTTCTTCCATGAACCAAGAGAGCGGACGATGTGACCTTCACCTCTGCCAGATGCATCGTCGTCGCCTCCGCCTCCATGATATCGTTCTGTCAAATGTCGTCGTTGCCACCTTCGATTCCGTCAAATCGAATTCTCTCGTATTCTTCACTGACTCTCCCTATCGTCCGCCTCCCTCCTCCCTCTAATAGTCGGCCCTCCCTGTGATTGAATCAAATTTCATCGTGGTTGCTCTATCGATCTGATAGATATGGAAACGACCTTTCGATCACATTTTAGGTTCACCTCAATTTATCTCGACTGAACCGATTCACCCTCTGATGTAAAAGAATCACTTGGAAAATACTCCAATGATTGGATCCATATGACTACCGATCAACTACACGACTTGTTGATGAGTTTCAGGGCAGCGATGGTGCATCAATTTCAAATATTGAGTGTATACTGGAACACGTTCTTCACAAAAGGTATTCGATTACTAAAACAATTCACTAACTCCGATCTACAGTGAAATTGAAAGAGGATTATGTTTTGTTATCGTGATGTGATTAATCCTCAAAATCACGCTTAAAAGATATCTTACAATTATGGTCGGATTAACATATGTGGAGAATAATTTAAGAAATAGTTGTTTTAATTTGAATGTTTGTTATGAAGATTATGAAAACTGATTATTCAGATACGTAACCTCATCTAAATTAACTGATTATCGAACTATCTGATGTTGGTTCTTCAATTTGCAATGCTCAACTTGAAAATTCACATCCAAATCATAGTAGATCTAGGTTTTTTGCATGTTGATTGACTCTTTACATTCGATTAATGTTTCAAATAGTATCATCTTTTGAATCAAGTTTCAACTTGTTTAGAAATTCATGTTACCGGTGGAATGTAATACCATGATCAGTTGAATCCAGTTACAATCACCACCATTCTGTTGATTTAGTAGAATGATTGAGTTCAATAACATAAGATACTATATTATTTTCATAAATTTAAGTATCTTTGAATTGTTTTACACACATATTTCTATCACAATTTGTTAGTTTTAGAGTTTTTTATATTGTAATTGAATTTTTTTCTACTTTTTATATAGTTGGAAGAGTTGTCTTTCCCAAAATCATCGAAAGATGTTAAAGTATGTTAAAAGAAAAATGCAGATATAAGGTTAGTTTGTTGGCTGCCATAAAACTTTTTATCTGGGATTTGAATTCTCATCTTCATTGCATCAACTGTCATGTTCTGATTGTAATTTAATATCAAACCATTTTTCATTTGAACAACATTATGGAGCTAGAAAATCAAACAGAAGAATCCTCCTTGTATGAAGAATCAAACATAAAGGATACTTCAGATAATGATATTGATCCATTCAGTGACCAGATATCAAAATGTGCAGGTATATAGGTACCAACTTGGTATCTATACATGTACATATTTTTTTCACATGGTTGTTTACTAACTTGGTATATATACATGTACATATTTTTTCACATACTAACTTAGTAATTCACTTGTGATTCACATATGAATTACATGTGAATCACATGTGATTCACATGTAAATCACATATAAATTACATGTGAATCACATGTGATTCACATACAATTAAATCACATATGAATCACATGTAAATCACATATGAATTACATGTGATTCACATGTAATTCACATATGAATTACATGCGATTCACATGTAAATCACATATGAATTATATGTGATTCACATATGAATTACATGTGATTCATATGTAAATCACATGTAATTCACATATGAATTACATATGATTCACATGTAAATCACATATGAATTTACATGCGATTCACATGTAAATCACATATGTATTTTTGTGAGTGTTTTTGCATCAATCAGATTCTTTTTAATTTTCTTGTAGATTTGGAAGAAATTGTGGTGAATATTGAAGAGGTGAAAACTGATAAACTGAAGAAAATATGGAAATATTGATACGAAGACGTGAAAATGCTTTGAAATTTTGTAGCATTTTTTTGTTTTTTATATTTTATATTATATCGAATAAAATACTTATTGTATTGTGTTTATAGATTAATAAATAAAATAAGTTTTCTTATTATTTTCTTACAAATATTATAGTATATGAAATATGCATATATGCATTTGTAAAAATATGCATAAAAGTATCAAAAATGTTGATTTTTTTGGTTAAAAAATTATAGTATTTTTTAAATATTCTAGTTTTTATTGATTTTTAAATGTTTTTAAAATAATGCAGTTTTTTTTAAAAAAATCAATTTTTTTTTTCGAAAGTTCATGTTTGCTATAAAAAAAAACTAAAAAATCTACAATTTTTTTTTAAAAAACTGAAAAATACTATTTTTTTTAAAATCTGCAAAAACAGAAAAAAAAAAATTTCAAATATTCATGTTTTCTTTAAAAAAATTAAAAATTTTGCACTTTAAAAAAAACTGAAAAAAATATTATTTTTAAAAGAATCCGAAATTTTGATTTATTATGTAATTTTTAGACATTTCTATTAATATGTAGATTAACACAAAAAAATTAAACATTAAATGAAATCGATAAGTTTATGATCACGCTCTAATGAATTAGTTTTGATCTAACGGTCCACTTTTAGTTCTTGCGTTCTCGGGAAATATAAGTTCTCAACCGATTATATATATATATATATATATATATATATATATATATATATATATATATATATATATATATATATATATATATATATATATGTTCAGGTTCATTTGAGACCATTCTAATTTTGTGAGACCGTGAGACCAAATCTAAAAATAATTTTAAAATGCCAAATAAATGGAAAAATCCAAAAATTCTTTTTTTAAATATTATTTTCGGAACTTGAATTAACTAAAAAAAATAAAAATAAAAAAATCCTTTTTTTTTTTTTTGAAAAATACGTGAAATATTCTAAATAGAATATTACACTGACATATTCTAAAAAATAATTTTAAAATGCAAAATAAATGGAAAAATCTAAAAATTCTTTTTTTAAATATTATTTTCGGAACTTGAATTAACTAAAAAAATATAAAAAAAAAATTTTAAAAATCCTTTTTTTTTGAAAAAATACGTGAAATATTATAAATAGAATATTACACTGTACATATTCTAAAAATAATTTTAAAATGCAAAATAAATGGAAAAATCAAAAAATTGTTTTTTTTAAATATTATTTTCGGAACTTGAATTAACTAAAAAAAATTTAAAAAAAATAAAAAAATAAAAAAATGGTCTCATAAAATTAGGCCGTCTCACATGAACATATATATATATATATATATATATATATATATATATATATATATATATATATATATATATATATATATATATATATATATATATATATATATATATATATATATATATAAAATGTTCTATGAACAATAGATGGATCGATTTGTTTTTTTTTTTTTTTTTTTTGATCGCAAAAAAGATGGGTTTGAGTATGTATATACATTTATTTTTTAATGGACTTCCTTGTACGATATACGTACCTGAAACTAATTAACAACCAACTCTCATCCGTAAGAAACATTTATTCTATCATTGACTTCCTTGTACAATATATTATTATTGTGCTAGGAAAGGTTTTATAATAATAATAATAATAATAATAACAACGTGTCCCGCTTATAATATATGTAACGACTCATTTTGACGTAGATATGTCTTGATCTAGTTATTAGTTAGCCATAAGGACCAAGGCTGTGTTTGGCTCATATAACCTAGATTATTTTTGAGCTTATTAAATTTAATATTTGGTAAAACCACAAAACTAACTTATAAACTATTTTTTTATAAAAACTATTTTTGATAATTTATTGATAAGCTAGCTGAAAAGCTAGGGCGCAAACACAACATCAGCTACTTGAGATAAAGTTGTTTTTTTATCGGATTAAGTATTATCTACATTAAGTCATAAATAAAGAGCACCTAACAAGATTAACAGCTTATCCAACACATAACATGTAACCATATCATTGATTCTAAATTTCTAATTAGTCGCTGTCGTAATAATACATAGACAATTACAACCCAACCTTTAAAAACAAGATAAAAGGCAACGGAACATAAACCCATCTTGCTGTTTTTGCATATCTGAATAAAAACATCCAAAACACTAAAAACATACCTTTAATAATATTTTAAACTAAATAAGAGCCAATTCTTGCAGCAGCATTTGAGAAGTTCCTTACAAATTGCCTAATCTTTTTTAATTGTCAATACTGATCTTGCTCTTAGATTCAAGAATATACCCCTACAAAATCGGAAGAGAAAAACCAAATTCTTAACAACAAATTCAGATAAAAAGGTTAGAAAATAGCAATTTATATTCATTCACTTGTTCATCACAACATCCTACTTTGAAAAATCTACCCAAATTTTAGCCATGTCATCCATGTAAATTGGGCCGATTTTTCAAAGTATAATGTCCTAATAAGAAAAAAAAATCGAAAGTACAACCACATTAATAAATGAAAATAATTGAGTAGAACTTTATTTAGTAAACATGAGAATTTCAGATACTTTTAAAATAATTTGAATTATAAAGACTTATTCTTGATACTTTTTGTAAAATGAATAAACTTACCATAACATTGCAACAAAGCTTTGGACAATGACACGGAATTGCAGCGGCACGTGGCGGTGGTTTATCCACCCGATTACTGGCCAGAACTGCACACATTGGTTAATAAATATTATTCACTTGTTACAAAACATTCAAAAGAAATAATAATAATAATAATAATGCAATAGATAGCAACGTACTTTTTATTTTTTCAATTACATTATTATACTATTTAAAAAATCTACCCAATTATATACAAAGCAATTTTCACTGCTGTAATTGGGTAGAGTTTTCAAAGCACAATGTCGTAATAAGAAGTTATAATGTTGTTATAGAAAGAAATGAAAATAGGATGTTATAAAACAAATTGCTATTTCTTTAAAAGATTTGTACAATAGAAATTTATAAAAACATGAGTAAAAACTGAAATTATGGATTTACCGTCCATGCTGCGTATTGTACTGTGGGGTATTCCTTCTTGATTTTAGATTTCACTTGAATCCATGATCTTCCTGAATATATATATACATGACCATAAATTATTATGACTTCAAATTTGAAAAATGATACGAACTTTAAAAAGGTTAAATGCAAGA